GTGTGTGTGTGTGTGTGTCGTTTTGCATGTATCTCGTGGTGTCACACACCCCCAGCAGCTGAGCCCTGACAGTGCTCCACACCCTCTGCGAGTAACTGGGATCACTTGCACATTCCCAGAATGACCACCGTCTGACCGATCTGGACAGCTGCCCTGCCCGTCTGCCTCCCATAGCACAGATCTCTGGCATTTCTGGCTAAGCTGGTAGGCTGTGACCCACCTGTGGGACGGCTGCTTGGGGTTTTAAAATAGCGGTGTTTCTGTGGTGGACAACAAAAGGGGAGTTGAGGGTCACACCATGCTCATATCTGTAAAGCTGTAGACACCAGAGAGGTCAGCCACAAGGAGGCAAAACACGAATTCAGCTCTGTGGAGAAGGCCCTTCTGGGTAGCACGGGGGATTGAAATATTTTGCTAGTAGTGCGAATATGATAAATGAGATACAGATATCAAAACACTACTTTCGTTTCACACCTTCACTTAAATATAAACATGTTTTCTACAAATCCTTTATTAAATTAGCAAAAGAAGCTAATGTGTGAGATGTGAACAAATGTTTGATTTGAAGTTACAATCACACAAAAGGTGATATTCTACATTTTTCTCTTTGTTAACAGATCAATATGAATTGATCCCACCAACCAGTGTTACCTCCATTGTTGTTCTAAAATGATTAAAAACACATCAATGAGCCACGCCATTGCAGTGGGTGACATGTTCCTTCATTAACATGAATATGAGCACTGTAGTTTATTTTGAGTCAATCCCAGATACACTGTCCTGCTGCCGTAAATACTTTATAGAGCAGCAACTGTGTATTAATTTGCTGCTGAAAATAGTTCCCAATGAAAACACAATTTACTTAAAGTTTCCTAAAAACTACAGTGTGCAGCTGTTTTAGGAAATTATTGAGCCTTTTTAAGAATGAAACTATATATTTAAGAGCTGTTTTTAAAGATTTGCTTCTTCAGTAGGAACCATTTGGTCTAGCAATTGGAGCCAACTGGCTAACAGACATTGTTGGTTTTGGTATTTTCATGTGATTAGTTTTCAGTCCTGGTTGATTCTGTGTTTCATTGGTTATAACTGCTAGTATGTCCCAGAGCAGTGGTTCTAAACTGGTCTCACGTTGGGACCCACATTTTCCCATGGTCATTAAGTTGCGACCTACTTTTATAGAATTCAAACCAAGCAGATGTATTTTTCAGATAGGCTAGTAAACACATGCCCAATGTTAATCATGACCTTTTTTTATGGTAAAATATACACACATTCTCCCCCCTGAATTCAGGGAGGGTGCCGTTACATCTGAATGCCTTACATACTTCAACACACCTCGACACATAAACACACACACTGCCAAGATTGGCATTACACACACACACACACACGGAGCAGTCGTACAGCTAGTAAACACACATGTAAATAAAATATACCCATATTTACATCCCTACAATCAGAGCACTTGTACCAACATCACAACTGCATGCTGCTGATTCTTATAAATTCGTAATAATAAGTTAAGCCTACAAAACTGTTTTCATTCAAATATTTGTGGAAGCTTTTATGTCAAAATAAAAGTCAGACATCAGATAGCTGAATATTTAAAACAGATTTTTTTGGACTACACACTCCAACCCCAATTTAGAACAAGCCTGTGACCCACTAGTTGAGAAAGCATGTCCCAGAGTGTACTGACCTCTGTGGGCAGCAAAAATATTTTAAGTGGCCACTCAAACAAGCTAAAGAACTAAACTTGTGATAAGTTGTCTTGCGCATCGTGTTCATGTGCATGAACTGTTGGCTGTGAGTCCTTTCTGACTTGGTATTTCATCTAGTAATGATGAAAAGTTTTATACAGAGCAGTGATGTTGATTGATCACTGGCTCATTCATCAGTTGGACTTGCACTCATTGTCTCACAGGTGTACACGGCAGCTTTTATAAATCCACCACCCTCCCACCACTTTGTCTGTATCTGCGAAGGTTTAAATATTGTTTACCTAATTAGAATTTAATGTTCTTGTGTTTGTTTGTTAAGGAATCATCATTCGCTATAAATGGTTAGCGCCTTGATGTAAGTGCGCCTGGCTGAATGATAACACACTAAATGGCTATTACTGAAATAAATGATCATTAATAGTATCAACAATGGGTTTTTATATAATGGAAATGGACTACAAGTACTCAATGATACGCACACATTTAGGTTTGTACCAAAGAAGTGCTGTTGTTTGATATCCAGCCCTACATCTGGGTGGCCAAAATGTTTAAAGTTGTGTCCAGACCGTTTATCGGGCAGCGCTCTCACTACTTTTCTTGCTGTCTCTTTCTGTCTCTTTAAGTGATCAAGGCTTCTGTGTGGGTGTGGGTGATATTGTGTTAGAGTGCTGCTGCACTGATGTTTCTGTAATGCAATCAGTGTTTCCTGTCAGAGAAAGGGAGAGAGAGAGAGTGGTACAAAGAGGGAGGAAAGTGAAGAGAGAGGCAGGAGTTGAGAGACGCTCTGAATGACACCCACTGCTGATTTACAGCTTGTGAACTCAGAAAAATGCACCCAGCATGCCTTCAAACCACATACAAAACATACTGAATATCCAGCCATTTACACTGCTCCTTACATAAACCTTAAAAATAGGACACAGTTCCTTTGACATAGACAGTTTTATGTTGGATTATTGGCACAGGAAACCACAACTGTGCCTGCCATACTCTTCACATTCAGTGATGTCACGACTGACTGTGTGGGTGTGCTGGGTAGAGGGAGGGAGTCGTGTGATCTCGTGGACGTATTGAAACATATTGTATGCATGGATGGGGCTTGAGAATTCTTCACTCTGAGCTGAACCGAAGGCTGCCTGAGCACTTGTGCAGACTGAGAGTGGAGGCATAGCATCATCACGGCAGCAGTGAGGAGAGAGTGAGAAAGAAAGAAGAAGAAGAAGAAGGAGGAGGGAGGGAGGGAGCAGGAGTGAGCACAAGAGGGATCTGGAAAAGAGGACAGAGAGCCAAGAGACAGAGAAGAGGAGAGACGTGGAGTGCCAAGCTCCTCTGCCGGCTCCAGGCTGTGTGTTGTTGTTGTTGTCGTTTGGGGGTCAGGATGAGCAGCCCGTGCCTGCTGCGCGCTGCCCCTGTAAGCCAACCCCGACTCAGAGAGGTCAAGATCAGCCTGAAGGCCAGCAGCAGGGAGACCACATCCATCCGGAGCGGCAGCGGAGGCACCAAGGAGGCTGCCAGCCGCCCCTATGCCCTGGCAGAGAAAGAGGCCCCTGTCCGGGTCAGCATGAGCAGCAGTCGGAGCAGGAGCACCCCGGCAGTCCACCGGGCCCAGAGACCCGAAAGCAGGAAGACAGCGAGGGGAAGCAGCAGCAGCAGCAGCGGGAAGCAGCATGAGCCTGAACACCACCCGGAGAGGAACGGAACTCTCCTGCATGTCCCGCTCGCCGTGGCGCCCGCGGGACTCTCCCCCTTCTCTTCGTCCTCTTCCTCGTCCTCCTCCTGCACCCCCAGACGTCAGCGACCCTCTCACCCTCACCCTCCCCCCGCCCTCCTCTCCTCCTCCTCTTCCTCCTCAGCTAAAAGTATGAAGCGGGCCCGCTGGCTGAGTTTCAGCACCTCCAACATCTGCTTCAACTCCATCCTGGATGGACGCTTCAGGCAGCTGCAAGGTACAGGGTCCTGATGGAAGGGCTGTGTGTTTGTGCACCTGTGTGTGTTTGAGGGAGAGTTCGTCCATCCTCTCCTGCCTCACAGATGAGAGCGATAACACTTTTACAATCATGCCCCCTCTCCTACCCAACTTGTTTTAGGCCAGGATGGGATCGCAGGGAGGTTGGGCTGTGATGTGAGCAAGTGTGAGGTTAGTTTGTCAGCCTTTTGTGGGAACTGGAAAATGGCAAAAAAAAAGAAAGCCTAAGCTTACGTAGCAGTGGCCCTTTTTATTAAATGTATAGGGTAGTAATTTATTTATTTTCAGGAAGCTGTGGCTCTGCCCCAATTGTTCACTGACTTGGCTTTGAATAATTCATAGGCAAACTCCTAAAAAGGTTGAGATGCGTTTCCCTCCAAAGCCATTCATTGCTAGCTAGTGTTATGCACTCCATTTGCTGTGCTCCTTTTCTTTAAAATAACAAACAAATTCATCATTTTAGCTTGTCACCTATTCTCCATATGGCCCTTACCAATTACAAACTGTTCCAAAGAACAAAGTATTTGTGTGTTTTGATCCTAACCCCCTTTTTTTCCTGAATGATTGCGTTGGCGGTGTTAAAAAATAATCATTTTCTCTGATGGTTTAACGTTTCACTGCCTGTGTTATTAAGGTTTTAAGAGAGAGGTTTGCCGTCACTGTGGATTTTGTTAGCTTGCACTATGCTATCCAACTCCCTGATGACAGGAGTGCATTAGTGAGAGGAAGAAAATGGAGGAGACGATGCAGGAACAGAGAGGGGAAACATGCTTTTTTTTCTGCCTCTGCTAGATTTCAAGTATTGACGAATTCTGAAGACTGCGGAGGCAACTGATACGTGAAGTGGCAAAGTTTTGAAGAGAGATTGTTCAGAGCCAAGTGTATTGATTCAACCAATTGCATGTCGTGAAATTTTATTAACTTTTTATTTACCCGTTATTAGGGAGAACTGGTCAAGACTGCAGTAGAATCGAGTTGGACAGAACAACAATAACAGAAAAACATAAGTAATAAATAGAGAGAGAGAGGACA